GCCCCGGCCGCCGCTTGCCGAGCGGGAACAGCGGGCAGAGCGACGGCCTGCCAGGCCGCAGGCTCCGCGACAGTCCCGCCACGTTTTACGTGATCCAGCTCGTCCCGACAGCGAAACCGCTTCCCTACCGCCTTCTGCAAACGTGCCGTTTAATTCCCGGTCAGATCCGAGGGCACGGTCATACATCCGACTGCACCGAGCCGTTCCCTCGTGCTTCTGTTGCTGCTTGGGCAAAGATCGGTCGTTTCCACTTCCACAGATGACAGTGAACCGGGACACTTCTGTTACTTCAGCGATACTGTACTATTACATGAACACCGCACAGGATGAAGAATTTATAAATTGAGAGAGACAGATGTGTGTGGCTTACGAAGTCAGTATTGTAATTGTTTATTTTAAGCATTTTTCTACAAGGACATAACGAATAGTTTATATTTGAAGTTTACATGCATGACCTCACTTATAAACACTAGTATGCCATCTTCTGCTGGCAATTAGACCTATTTTCAAAGACAGCACAGAACCACCTTTCAGCTGCCTGAATAGGGCATGTTTAGTGTCCTTAGTAGATTTACATTCTTAAATGTTTGTTATGTAGTAACAATGAGGGCAAAATGGTACTTTCAAGATTACTCGCACTTAACATATCCACCATTGACTCTAGGAATTTCTTAGATGCTTTATAGAAATAACCTCACTTTTTTCTTTCAAAAACATGCTGAAGAACTGTCATCCCTGTGGGAGATCTCTGAAAACTGTTGTTCAAGAATTAGAAATTTATCATTAGGACTTGGCCCTACGCTTGCTTTCACAACAAGAGTTTCAGCTACAGGGCTTTGTATTTCCAGTAATAATTCCCAACAAATCAAGGTATTTCCTTGCTGGAGAAAAGGAACTCTTGCTTGACTCAAAAACATGCTGAAGAACTGTCATCCCTGTGGGAGATCTCTGAAAACTGTTGTTCAAGAATTAGAAATTTATCATTAGGACTTGGCCCTACGCTTGCTTTCACAACAAGAGTTTCAGCTACAGGGCTTTGTATTTCCAGTAATAATTCCCAACAAATCAAGGTATTTCCTTGCTGGAGAAAAGGAACTCTTGCTTGACATTCCTGAAAATCCCCTCTTGTAACTTCAGTTGACAAGACATTCCTCACACCTTGCAGTAAGCTGTCTGCAATGTTCCCCTTAGAGGTAGTCATGCTTTGGTACAAGGTGAAAGAGTTTTCACGTACAGGGGGCTGATACTATTGAATATTGAAAGAGTGAGAACTCACAAAAAGCACCTGCATTACCTGGCAATGCTAAGATTTTGCTAAGCAAATCACATCAGCGTTTCCTTAAACGTGATGACCTACCAAGCACTTTATCCTGCCTCTTCTCCTATCCCTCTGCCAACCCACTGAAGCTCAGGGCATTGCTACACCATGCAGAGAGCCATGCAGTTCACAGCTCCCTAAGCTAGCTCCAACCCAGCAGCAGGTGGGGAACTTCTTGTCTTGACCCACCGCTTCAGTGGCAGTTCAGTTGTACAGCTGCCAGGCCCAAGCTGGCGCTCCTGCAGGGCCAGGTACTGGCAACCTCCCAGCCTGCAAGAACCCCATGAATAAGTGCTTAGACAGTACTTCTGTCTCAGCAAAGGAGACCAGGAATTCAAATTAAGATTTCAAGTGTCATTCATGTTAAAACAGGGAAGCTCTCTGCAATATACACACAACTCCAACCCATCCCATGCCATGGAAAGACATCTTTCTCACTGCAAAAAATCAATTTTTGTATCTGAAAGGAACAGATTATCTACCTTCCTCCTGCAAAGCAGGCAAAAAAGCGTCCCTGCTGCTAGAGGGTCTCGGAACAGGACAGTGGAGATGCCGAGTTTAACACTACATAACAGGATAAACAGAGAAGGGGAGTTTGAGTACTATGTTCCATGCCTGCAGACAAACAAAGCACACCTGCCCTCAAACAAGACACACAACATACTGCAGGAAGAAGCAGAATATCAAGTAATAGCTTTCTTGTGAGATGGGGATAAGCAGACATTAGAATCACTCAGAAGTCTGTAGTTCATTAGGAATTAGAAGTATTTGTAATGTGTTAAACCATTATCACTTATTTTCTCTTCAAAGTCAGTCACTTTCACGTATAAATAAATGATTTTTTTTCTGGTCCAGTTTTACAGTGTGGAGGGTAAAGAGGAAGGTATCAATATGAACAGAAAATAAGCTCTATGCATAGGTTACAGACTTGCTTTTTGTACAATTTTCAGCAACATTTTTTTTCCTTTTGCAAATATATGGGTAAATACTGTATCGATTATTGTGAGAATTTTCTATGGCAATGAACGAACAACATAGGACAGTAAATTCTCTTCATTGTGTGCAAATTCCAATAAAAACCCACGAAAAGTTCTGTTTTCTTGAGTTTAATTGGAGCTTTATTACTTAAGAAGGGACTTCACAGTCTTCACCTTCAGCAATTTGCAAAGAGGAGGCATACAAGAAAGGTTACAACACTGAATGGAAGGGACTCCCTACTGAACAGGGGGGAAGGGGGCAATGGCAAGGCAGAAGAACTGGGAGCGCCAATTTGTTCTCAAGTCTCACGAGAGGACTCCTGGAAAAGGCTGATTACTTGAAAGAAATCAAGGAAATAAATTTAGGAAGCAGAACCTGGGATTAGAGTGAGCTGGAACCAGAAAGAGACAAACACCAATGGCAAAATGCAAATAAACCAAGCAGAGTAAATCCAGACAGAACCCAAACAGTAACAGAGGCTGAATGAATAAATAAAGTCCCTAGGATTAAACCAGATTTATGCTGCCACTCAGCTTCTTTAACAGACATATAAAGCTGTAACTGACTGTGGCATGGTGGCTTCAGCCTCTGCTCCCCTGAAACCACTGTCCAACCAGGTAGAAAAATAAAGGTCTAATTCACTGGAAATTCTTTCATTTACAAAACTAATGGAATAGGGTTTGTTTTTATGCTTCTGTGTCAATTTCCGATTTATCTTCAACTCCATTCTGCTCATCTTTCATTTCTTCATCTTCAGTGTGGCTGGTCTGAAGAGTAGCAGCTGACTAAATAGAGAGACAGAGAAAACATATTCCTTTGTTACACAAAATTGCTAGCATTTGCAAACAATACACAAACATTATTTGATTCTTACCACTAGGATAGCTGGTCTCCCTGCAAGACTGAATTAAGATATTAAGACCTTCAGCCAAGAGAAACCAAAAGTTTCTTTGCATTTTTTCTGCATCTAAGAAACCAGGAGCAGTTTAAAGGAGGCTGAGAAATAATACTGGTGTTAGACGGTTATGATTCATAACGTGGTGTGCACACGCTTGCCATGTAACACTTTAAGAAAGTGTTCTCCCCCAAACTGTAATTCATTTAGGAAGCTTCTGCACAGGACTGCTTTCGTCCTGCTTCAACTTCAATGCAATTCAATTTCAACAATTCCCATACCCTGCCCCCACCCCCAACTTGTATGAGGCACACTTGGACTCAAGATACGAAGAAATAGCTTTGTTGGACAACTAGTTTCATAACGAGTGACTTCAACTCGACAACAGTCACTTGGGTGTCCTCTGTAAGAGCTTAGAAGCTCTAATGGAAGAAGAGATCTAATCTGACAAGGTGGCTGCTCTAAAAGTCCTCTCCTTGCTGTATCTTCCAGTCCACGTAAAAAGGTGTGGTAAGGCTCAGAGGTCAGTTTTTACAATAGAACATAAGCAGCACATCCTGACCTTGCAATGATTTTCAAACACAGTAAAGGGAGGTAGAAATGTCTTGTCCCATTAATCTCAAAAGATAGCGCAATGAAATTGCTATTCCACCTGTCAGCCTAGCACCCTGAACCATCTGTTTTATTATGAGGTTAGATGAGAACCAGACAAGAACAAGGGCAGGATCCTTAAATTAAAATGTTACATGAACTTAGCTGCAACAAGAAACCACAGCCAAAGAACATCCGGGCATCAAAGGTCAACCTTTTTCACCCTTAGAAGTGTTCTGTGAAGCACACAAGAGTCAAGTCTCCTCCCCACAGAAAATCTGTTAGCTAGCAATCCTGGGCTTAAGATAAGGTGATAAACATCCTGACCTTTAAAAATTCACACTTTACATGTGTGAACTATTTGAATTAATGAAAAGAACTACTGATGCAAGAGTGGCTGTCGAACTTCAACAGACCATAAGACATGCAGATGTCAGGAATTTCAGAACTATAGTCCAACCTGCCTTCTTAGCAATCAGAAGACATTTGGTAAACAAACCCTCTTCTCCAGAACTCTTGAACTTCTCCCACCACCACTAATAAAAAACCTGTTGGGAGCTAGAGTAAAGCAACATGATCAATAGATTAACAGGAAAACATGTTTTCTTGCAAGAAAAATCCCCAAGACTGACCTAGGGAGTAAGCATCTTTTGTTTACAGTTCCATGTTCCATCGATCCCTTTTCATATAAAACCACATCCATTTAAACTAGGCCAGATGGCTCCAAGAAAAAACAATGTAAACACATGCACATCCCAAGATCATCTAACTATTGATAAGAATGAACCAGGCCAACAGCATCCTGGCCTGTATCAGAAATAGTGTGGCCAGCAGGAGTAGCGAAGTGATCATCCCCCTGTACTCAGCACTGGTGAGGCCGCACCTGGGTTCAGTTTTGGGCCCCTCACTACAAGAAAGACATTGAGGTGCTGGAGCATGTCCAGAGAAGGGCAACGAAGCTGGGGAAAGGTCTACAGAACAAATCCTATGAGGAGCGGCTGAGGGAACCGGGGTTGTTTAGTCTGGAGAAAAGGAAGCTGAGGCGTAGACCTTACCGCTCTCTACAACTACAGAAAGGCATCGGTCTCTTTTCCCAAGTAGCAAGTGATAGGACAAGAGGAAATGGCCTCAAGTTGCACCAGGGGAAGTTTAGACTGGACATTAGGAAAAATTTCTTTACTGAAAGAGTGGTCAAGCATTGGAACAGGCTGCCCAGGAAGTGGTTGAGTCACCATCCCTGGAAGTATTTAAAAGATGTGTAGACATGGCGCTTTAGGGACGTGGTTTAGTGGTGGACTTGGCAGTGCCAGGTTAATGGTTGGACTCAATGATCTTAAGCCTTTTCCAACCTAAATGATTCTATGACTCTGTAAGCTGATTCTATCCGAAGTAGATGGGAAAACTGGAACTAAGTGCCACACCTTTGCAGCATCCCAAACAGCCTGCAATGCAAAGACTGTGAGTCCACCTTTTGCCAAGCATACAACTCCACCAACTACCCGTCTTAGGGGCTGAGGTGTACATTTTGAAAAGCACGAAGGCAGCCCTTTTGTATTTTTAGTGGGTACAGCTTGTTTCAGCAATCCACTCTTCCTCTCTGAACAGTAGATCTTGCTGTGTCCCACACCTAGCAGAGGAAGCCAGATTGCCAGCAGCTGTGCTAGCTGAAAGGAACCTGCACAGCAGAGCCTGACAGCTGGCAATTAAAACCTGCAATTTCAAACGTGAAGATGCCCAACAGTGAAATCATTCTAGTTTAGTTGCTGTATCTTTATCTTCCTGAGATTTTTCATTAAAGCCTACCAAAAATTAAGGTACTGCATGGCTATACATGACAACGTCTAAAAGGACAGAATACTTTCTTCCAGGCTTCAATACGCAAGGACTGTTGAATCAGGCTGCTTTAGCCAGATATGTAACTACATGGACAATGACACTTTCCTTGTAGAATCACTGGGGAATGTCTGCATTTATGCGTTTGTTTACACTCCTCTATGAGAAGCAGAATGAAATCCACAGAACTACTGCTACTCTTTGAAGAGGGGGAAAAAAACCACCAAAAAAAAAAAGCCCACAACCAAAAAGCCACAAACAGAACAGCTTACCCACCCAACCATCCAGTGAGGGGTGATTACCCTATGCTTACTATATGACTACTTTAACAGAGAAAGAGATGAAGAATGGAATACATCTCCCATTGTCTCTGGGAGGTAAATTGATTTCAGATATATCCCATTTTGAAAGATTGGGGGAGGGAGAGAAAGAGAGGTTTGTGAAACGTTTCACATAGGAAATTGTCAGCTGACAGTCTGAGATGGCACAATTGTCAGGATACATTCATCTTGAGGACAGCGGGCCCCTGGATAGACTCACTGACACAGTTAACCACAAGAAATGGACATACCAATATCTGACAATTTTTTAGATTCTCCATGCGTATTCTGGGAAGGTGGACACAAATATCTGTGAAAATAACCTCACAAGATGCAAGCTTCTGCACTCCCCAATGTTACCGAGAAAATTTGAGTCTGATATAAATCCCAGATTTGTCTTGGATGTTACAGGTTTACCTAATCCTGCTGGACCATCAGATTTAAGGAAAACAAACAGAACATTTTCTTAGATTATGAGATTCTCACCAGTAACTTTGAATGTTTCTTGCTAGCTGATACAACCTTGTCATAACCTGTATTCAAATATTGCCAGTGTTTACTGAACTAGTATTTACTAAAATTCTAGTGAAAGCTTAGTAGGAAAACCATCCATACAGTAGAATAGTGAATCTTCAGACAGTCTAAATTCTGACACTTCCTAATCATTCTGTGATGTCTGAGATGGAGAGCATCAACCACATCTTAATACCTCCGTAAGAACAAAGGCTGTGCTCAGCACCTGTACGACAGACAGAAGGTCTCAGTAGATGGGCCACCCAGGCACCAGAACAGACTTTCTTTAGAAGATCAGTTCAAGGAGAATAGGCGCTTTTTTCAGTTTTTGAACGTTATCAAGTTTGCATCTCATCACTTCAATTGCTTTCTGACTAATGCTGGTCTGTTGCAGAATCAGTTGAAATAAGTAAAAGCATTCTATGCAATGTTTGGTACTGCTAGTTGTCTTGGCCAAGCAAGATGGCCTATCATTTTGACTGCTGGCTATTTCCAGTTTTTTCCCCCCAGAGGAAGCTACTTGAGTGTTCTCCCACTATATTTATCTGTACTAAGAAGTAAGTTGAATACCTAAAACACTACTCCTTGGCTAACACATGACACAACCTCTTATAGTCTTCTGGAGTAGTGTTACTTACCTTTAAGTCTTTGTCTGCAAGCCTTTGGAACATGTTGGCATACATCTTTTTCTCTTTCTCATGCTGCTCCCGTATTTTTTGCTGACAAGTTACCAGTTGCACTTTGGCAGCTTTGTTACTTGGATAAAGTTGTATCACTTTCTGGAAATCTCCCCGGGCCAATTCAAAGTCATTGACAGCCAAGTGCGCTTCTCCACGCCGGAAGAGGCCTTTTTCATTGTTGCTATCCAACTCGAGTGCCTGCATTAGTAAAACAAAACAAAACCACATTCAAGAATAATTTTTCTTCTTTTAAAATAACACACAGTCAGAACACCAAAGACTGCTAGAAACTGTACCTTCTCATGTAGATTTATGAGTCTTGTCAGGGCTTACTAATAAGGTGAGTTGAATACAGTAGGAGTAAGTACAAAGAGGACTGAATATAGTAGGCTGTTTGACAGAAAACCAGCAAGTCTAAGATTTAGTCCTGGCTCTATTCCAGCTCTCTGAAGGACCTCTGCCAACATGACTACCTTCACCACATTTCAGTGTTTCTAATTTCTAAATACTTGAATATTCTCAATGTAGCAGCAAGTTATTAAAAGATATTCAAAGGACAATAATTATGAAAATAACTGTTCTGCCAGCTGATAAGAAAGGCCAAACACCACATGGCCTGGTATCCCTCAAATTGTTAAAGCAAGAGATAAACTGTCGGATTGCTTGTGCAGCTTAAGAATAAATAAACCCTTACTACCTTGTTGCAGTTCTCCAAAGCCTGGGAGTATTCCTTCAGCTTGAGATGGCACATAGCTAGATTAAGGTGGGCAGCAAGCCTCAAGCTTTTGGCTTTCGTATCCTCCTCATCGGAGAGTCCCGATTCATGCTCCAGCCATGACACAATCTTCTTATACTGTAATGCTGCCCGTTTGTATTTCCCCTCCTGCAAGCAAGGCAGTTCAATTATCACACAGCTCATCACAGTAACTTTTATCTCCCTCTTGCCCCTTCTGCTTACCTTGAGCAATAGATCTGAAAAAAATAATTCAGAGTAATCAGAAAATAACTTCTACCATCAAAAATATACTACTTCTGAAAGCCATTCCTGCATAGGAACAGAAAATCTTTAGGAATACCTACTGGTTCCCCCACTAAAGCTAGGGGTATAGGCCAGCATTGATACTTCACTCTCAACTCCCACCTTATATTCAACTTTTGATACAAAACAAGGAAGATGGGTATTTTTCAAAACAGCGCAACTATTGCTGTGTCGTAAAGATAATGGGAAAGTCTGCCTTTAGCTGGTCGAATTGTTTGAAACAGCTTCTCCGCACATCTCTACCCAAATGAATGTTGTTCATTCACAGCATTATCCCACAGTAGGAACTTAAATACTGTAACCTTGCTACTGTTCAATGTATGTCCCGAAGTTATCTGTAGATACAGCAAACAGCTCTGACAGAGAGAACTAACTCCCTGCAGAGTTAGTTCTTTGGGCAGCCCAACTCTGAGGCTTGCTTTTTTTTTTTTTTAAAAAGACACCTTCCCCTCCAGTCCTCCCTGTAAAACGTCACAGAGAATACCACCATGAACACCACGTTGAAATGGCAGAAACTGTAATCATCATTATCAGCCCAGGACATGGACTAAGAAATGCTATTATTACTTGGGGACTGTAATTTACCTTGAAGTACTGAGTGCCTCTCTCCTTCACAATGCAGCTTTGTTCCAGCTTCTCATCTGTGTTCATTTCCCAAGACTCCTTAGCCTACCCAAACAGGAACAGTTCAAGTCAATGACACAACTTCTGGGGAAACCAAGCGGCTATGCTGCTTCCCACTAACAGTATGGTAGAGATAGGTTTGGCAAAGCAAGAGTTTTGCACTGCTACTGAAAATTGGGCTAGAGCAGGAAAGACACTGACAGCAACAGACAGGGATACAGCAGGAACAAGGACAATTTCGGCCAAGAGCTCCCAGTGTGTCATCATCTCTGACAACAGTGGCTTCCCTATTTCAGATCAATGTTCAAGGATTCCATCATCCTTGTTTAACCTGCACTCACACTTCTTCCCCCACCTCTCAATCTCTTTGGGACTTCACCTCTCATTCCTACCTTTTCAAAGCTTTTGAGTTTCACTTCATACTGTAGCTCTGCATCTGGAGGGATCTGAAATTTCTCCTTCCCAGCACTTCCAAAACCATAGCTGTAAGATGGGGGATAGGGGAGGGCCGAGGAAAAGAAACAAAAGGTAAGAGTTCCAAAACTATCCAGCCAGCCATATTCGCTACAGAGGAAGCTGGAGGCAAAAACCCCATGCAAATCTGGGATGCCTATACAGCATTATTACAAGACAAAGGCTTGAAGAATTCTGGGTACTATTCTAAACTTAGCAAGCACAAGGCAGAAGAAAGCTGGAGAAACCTGGGGTTAATTTCTTTAATCTCTAGGTTACCAGTTCCTATTCTTTTTTTTTTTTTTAGCTTATTTGAAGGAAAAGCAAGTTATCTCTCCATCAAGGAAAAAAAAAAAATTACTTTCAAGTTATACACATCTTGCTTTATATTCATGGTGTGAGACTGGATGTTTCGTTCAGAGCACCTGTATTTTACTACTATTCTCAGAAAAGCAAAGGCAACGATAAATACAGCGATTAAGTGAACAGCCGCAAACTTCACACATGGCCAATCAGCTGATTAACAGTAAACGCCTATAGAAAGCTTCTGCACCGCAACTTCAGTAAGAAGCTGCATATTAGCAGGAAAACCCTCAAGATCAGATTGCTTTGCTTTTCTTCCCCCACCAGCTTCAGTTCCAGTTTAAAAAACTTAAAAACTGAAATGAGTTAAAGTTTGATGGAAACAATCAGTGCAAACTCCACTTGTTTCAGATGTGTCTTCACTGTAAAGAGAAAATTCTGCTTATATCCAAGACTGTTTAAGGTTAAAATATTGAGCAGTCATACACCTCAGTTAGCTGTTCTTCGTCTCAGAAAGTTCTCATAATGGTCCAAGATTTGGATATAACTCTGCCTTGTATCTCACAGGAATTGTGAAGTTCTTTTTCCAAAAGGCTTTCAGAATACCAGTGAACGTTTTCTACTGACAAAGGATTTCTGATACTGTTTACTAACCACATCACCTAAGGACTAGCTTTCCGGTCACATCGGGCTGCTCAGAAGGTTCATCAGCTTTTTTCCTATTCTGAGGCTGTTCTTTAGGTATCTTTACATGCACTGCTGCACAGTAAGTACTGTTTTGTTAAGAAGGACCACAAAAATGTAACTTAGAGAGCAGGAATTTTTTTTTTTTGGTAATATTCACTGAGATCAACACTATAGAGACTTAAGTAAATGTCTTTTGGAGTGTTACTACTTCACAACTTAGTGGCAAAGCAATCTTAGCTTCATACTTCTCATACATTAAATTTTTGGGGCTGATCAAGTTTTTACCACAGCACTGAAAGAAGCTGAAAGGCATTATAACAAATGCATTCTTGCCAGATGCTTAGAATAAGCCATTCAAGTATCAAAAGATCAGAAACAGCATACTTGGGTTTGAGATAGAATACAGATTCCTCTGATTTCTCCATTTTTTGAATTGCTTTCTCCAGTCCATGAGGAAGATCATAGTTGTCACCTTCTCCGATCTCAAACCGCAATTCTCGCCTGTCAAAAACACGATCTCCATATCGGCCTTCAAACTGGACTGGTAACAAAAAACAGAACAACCCAGAGAAAAATCAGAAGATATCCATGTATGGTAAGGGGCGGGGAGCACAGGTAATACAGGGAGTGCCAAAGCCTCCTCCCAAACAGTCTTTTCTCTTTTAACAGCCACCTATGTGTGCTGGCTACTGGCAGCAAATAGAGCTTCTGCTGCTAAACTTAATAAACCCTTTTTTTTGGTTCATCTATGTGTTTGTTGGGTTTTTTTGTTTTGGTTTGGTTTTTTCCCCCACTCCAACAAGTGCCAGAACTACTTCCCCTCTTGTTCCTCAGCAAACGGAAATACTTTATTAGACTCATCTGCCTTTTGTGATCAGATAAGCACATTATCAGATTCAGTATCTCTGGAGAACACAGTTGCTGTTGGAAAATGTAAACCTCACTAGAAATAAGAGAATGAAAGCTTACTCTAGGTTAAGTTACTTGGTAAAGGAAAGAGAAGCCACATATTCCTCCCTCTCAGGGCAAGGAGTTGTAGATTGGGAAAAAGGTTCTGCCCTCCCACATGGTAAACCCATTTACTATTTATGTAACATACTTACTCTCTACAAGTGCACCCTCATTGGGCTTGGAGTAGCCTTCCCCTTTTTTACGGATTCTTCGGATGATGCCACCATCTTCATCATCAGTGAGATCCTCCCCCTTAAACTCAAAAAGTTCTATCTGTGGAGGGAAGAAAAACCTTGCATTTGTTCTCATCACATCAATTCAGTAACTCACAGAATTTGTTCTCCAGAGATCTTTGAAACTATAGCTGTTCAGGAAGCCACTATCTTAATGTCCTGTAAGATATTAGATAGCCAAGGCTATGAAGATGCTGTATTCAGTAGATACTGGATGGAAACCTACTGAGGAGTTTCAGATTATATTCAGGCCTTTACAGCTTTTTTCTCCAGCAATCTTAGTCTCCCAATACTAGAAATCAGATCCTTTAATTGAAAGGACTGTGAACCTGGCTTCTGAATAAAGCTTACATGAGCCACAATGCTTAGGGACTACTGCAAAAAAATATTCTATTGGCTTCTTCAATAGTATTTTTGCTAACGTCTGCAGCAGAGGTATTGATAGCAGTTTTGGGGCTTGACGTTTTGTTTGGTTTTTTAGTATGAGGGGAAAATACCTTTTGAACATATCAAGCCAGGAAGAATTAGCTCTTAGCTGCCCCTTTGCAGTGCTACCACACTGATCAGCAGCTGTGACACCCTCTCAGTCGAGTAGAATCGCCAGTTCTGTCATGCAAGGGCCAGGGAGGTTTGTAAGTAATGCAAGGACAAAAGGAGCAATAAAATTAAATATAAATATGCAATCCTTATCCTTAAGTCCTGATTATACTCTTAATTCCATCTATGGTCAAATTCAAATCAACTGTAAAGTGCTTGGAATGGAGCCCAAACTGATTCGAAATGCTTATCCTGCAATATTAAAACAAATTCAAGAATATCTTTTCAGACTTCAGCTACTCGCCACCTGTTTCTTCATCCTCCTACTCTTGGGCCACAGGACAATAGTTTCAAAACTTCTGTGTCATTCTCCCTTGCATGCCTGAACAAAGTTAGTGTTCTCTTTTTAGTCGTTACGTTCTCCTCTCTAGTCTTGCCTTCTTGTTGTGTATTGTAGGATCATTTCAGAAAAAAATTACTTCCAGAAGAATGATAAAACAACAAAACCATGATCTGGCCCACCTTTAATCTAAACTTTTTGCTGCAGCAAATTGTTCAGAATTTTTAAGAGCTGGTGTTAATGTAGGAGATAACTATCCAGCCTGGATCTTCACATGCCCTCCCAAGTCTCTAACACAAATCATAGTTTGAAGTGGGAGTACCATGACAAGATGGAAAAATAGTCTAGTCACAAAGGAAATTTGTTGTTGCTGCTATGAAATAAAGAAAAAAAATCTTTTGCTATCCTATGTTTGAGTAAAACAATAGTAAAAATAGCACAAAAGAGCAAGCCATTATAATCAGCATTGTTCAGACTAAGTACCTCATTTCGGGGAAAAAAAAAGTTCAGGGCTAATGCTGTGGAAGTTCATGACACTGGACTTAAGATACCTGGGATGCAAAAGGAACTGAATATTCACGGGCATAAAGAGTACTTCCACCTTGTATTTTGATGGATACCTAAAACCAAATAATATTCTCGTCTTTCTCTTCAGTCCGTCTAAAACAAGCCAAACCACTCCAGAACATCCCACTGTTGAGCTTTTTTTTTTTTTTTTACCTGAACAACAGTATTCAATGGAATCTATCTGTTTACATTGCTCAACAAAAGCAATCATGAGGAAGAAAAATAAACCAAAACCAAATAACAGAAAACCAATCCATAAGACATCCATTATTTCAGGTCATAACCAAATGATGATGTGGTGATGATACAGCTACATAATCTTTTAATGTAAGTTTTAGAGGGTCCTTTTTAAGGCAACAAATACAAAATTTTGGTATGGTGATGGCACTTGCAAAGGAACCATGCTGACATTGCTGACATCGTTTTAGATAATAAAAAGGAAACATAGGAGCAAGACTAAAGAAAGTGGAAACTTAGAAGATTAAGCGCCTGAGAGTCATACTAGTCAGAAATCACTTCTACCTAAAAAAAACTTGGGAAAACTTTCTGGATCTAAGTTCTACCCCACCACTCCAATGCAGGACAAAACCAGCACTGCTTATTTATTGTAGCCAGTCATCTGCAGGCCATTTTGTTAGGGAAGCACAAAACCATCATAGGCAGCTTCAGTGCTTTTCTTTCTTTTTCCCTTTTCTCCTCTAACGTTACTGCTCAGGCAGGCATTAGGGGATATAAAGGGTCATGAATGAAACACTACTTTTATCTAAACAGTACCTAGAAGATGGAGAGGCCAGACTGGCATCATTAAGAAAAAGCTAGTGGCAAGTGAAGCATCTGGATGACTCTATCAGACAGACTCAGTAGTACTCTGATGAAACAAATCTCATCATGCAGTTAGTGCTTTTATTTATCAAAAGGTTAGGTATTATCTCTTGCTGCAGGACAACGATGTAGCATCCTGGGTACTAGTGCTAAGCCCTTAAGAATGCTTTATCATGCTACCAAGGTAGAAAGTCTTGGGCTTTGAGACACTGCACATAGACAGTAAAAAGCAGAGAAGCTGAACATCTTCAGTAATTGCTACACTACAGTTCTGTTTGTTTTTCCTTTTCCTCAACCAAAATGAAGTGAGCAGAAAAAGGTGGAGGGGTAGAAAAAAATGAATCGTCAGTCAGAACACAGTAAATATGTGTTAGTGTTTTTATCTCCCCCTTCAATCCTGCCCTATATTACACTTAGTATCACTTGCATTTGTGCAAAGCACACAGCATTCCAGCATGTGTAGTTTGACCCAGTATAAATAAGCCATGAGTATCTTCAGATTTACATATTAAAAAATGCTGTTTAAGAACAGCGTTACAAGGTATTATTTTTCAACAGTCAACTGCAGAAATGATAGCATTAATTTTGATGTACTCGAAATGAGTAAGTTCTCATCCCTTAGTGGCCTGGGGTACTACCTGCTGGCAGTATTTTTTGAATCCTTCCGCACAAAATACATCTTTAATGCTATTACTCACAAGTTCATGGAAAAAAGAAATGCAAATACACTATCCAAATGTAATACAAATACAATATCCAACTATGTTTAATTTACCCTTCTTAAGATGCTCATTGTTTCCATTAAAATCCAAATAGGTTTTCAGTCCCTATTCCATGAGCTGTTTTTACCTTTCTCAGATACTAGATAAAACGTTCAATCTTAGTGCAATCATCAGAGCTTAAAAACTTCCCTTATGCCCCCAACGTAGGAGTCCATTCCATTGATTAAGTATTTTAGAACAAAGTAATTTTAAAAATCACGCTTAAAAAGAGTCCATCTGCCTCTCTCAGGTACAATGAATTTTAAAGTATTTCTTGGAAAATTGAACTGTTCCAACAATAAGAAAAATGTATCCTCCCAAAACACTGTTTAGACTATTTGTCAGACCATGCTCCAGGAACAACTTTAGTATCATCCTCTATAGAAAAATCAAACATGAGTCAGCATTCTGAGCAACCACTCTCACTACTGAAATAATACACAAGAGACAGCTGCTATTTCCATCCCCTTTTGGAAGCGGGGCGGGGGAGGGGGGAGGCGGGGGGACAGATGCCTTAAAGATCACTAGGAAACAAATTCTGTCCTCTGCTGGTGAGGTTAAGAAATACCCATACTAATTGGCTCCATGTTCACCAAGACATGCAGTTCACCTCCGAGACCAACTGTCCATGTGAATTGTACAACTAGCGTTCCAGACACCAAACTCAAGACTGTTGAATCTGTCACAGGGACCAAGTGTGTACAAACGACTTTCTACGATAGTAAGATTGACCAGAGTAGCCTGGATCCACAGACAGACTTTGGTAATCAACAAGCAACCTGAATCCAAACTGTTCTTATGGTGTTTTAAGGCTTATCAAAACGCTCAGCTCTACAGAAAACAGTTCATAGTTGCAGGGCTGTTCAAATACACTTTATGTTCTAGCAGTTTATATGGGGTAATGATCTCTTTTCTCCCCCAAATTGCTCATAAAAGATTGTGTTAACATTGCAAAGAAAATGTAAAAAAGTATGAAAAATATATTACTGAGGACATTAATTGCTGTTTCTGTTGTTGAAAACCTCATGTTTAACATAAGTATCATTACTTTGAGTCTTATGAAATGGAAGGAAGATTAAAGATTTCCTTTTTTCAACTACTTCAGAGTCCACCACTGAGATAGTCCTCCCTGCCCTGCCCCCCACCTGCACTCTCCTACAGTGAACCATTCCGTAACTGTAAAATTAAAACTATAAACACTGGGTAGCATTCAAGTATTTTAAAAACTCCAAAATAAGGGAACCTGAGCCACTGCAGATCAGTAGCAGCCAGACTAGAACTCTGTGTTTTGCCTACACTACCCTAAGTGACCATATTTTTCTCTTCAAAAAAACTAACATTCCTGTTTTGACAGGATATTACATCACACATTTTCTACAGTGAAATATGATTTTTGTTTGTTTTTCAAGCGTACAGTTTTAGTGGCCGTCTCTCACTTACCTCAAAAATCAGTGTGGCATTGGGAGGTATCTTTGGGGGGCTCCCAGCTGAGCCATAGGCGTATTCTGGTTTACATGTAATCCGACAGATTTCACCAACCTTCATAGTTGCCACAGCAATGTCCCATGCTTTGATCACCTCACCTATGCAAGTCAAATTTCAATCACGTGATTGCTAAGCATACATGAAAGACATGATCAGCTGTGAAACTGAGCATCATCACTTTTAGTATACAAAAGCTAAGACAGAGCAGAAACACTGAAAGACTTGTGCTCACTCTGATTTATGTACATCCTAATCAAATTATAAAGTTACTTGGGAACCCAAATTTGGCTGAATTTCTTCATTCTAGGTGTAGTGATTCTTTTCCTCCCCTTACTTCCTTGCCTATAGAGAATACAAGTCATCTAAACAGACACAGGCTGAAGTGCTTAGCACAATCTCAAGTGTGAGGAAATAACAATAAACTCTTCGAAGAGGAAGGTCTTAGGGTGAGAGATTGCCTGCTCGTATTTTGAAAACAATCCAAAACAACAGCCTTTTCTCTCTGTACTTTATCAGTTGGCAAAGAGCAGCACAAGTGGTAACTAAAAGTTACATGCACTTGTAACAGAAAGGGGGAGGAAAGCAGGAGAAGTAGTATTCCTTCTAAAGCCAAAAATGAACAGAAGCTGGAACCTCAAGTAACAAAATCCTATCTCTTACTCAAGCTCTCCTACTTGCTGCTCCTTTCAACTCAATCAAGCAGCCTTTCTATTGGTCTTGTATTAATAGGTACACTTTATATCATTTTAAATTTCAGTACACTGCAGAATTTATCTCCCAAACAAAAAAGCAACAGGTAAACAACTGCCAGGGAAAAACTCAGACGGAGTAATAAGATTTGCTGGAACAAGGATGTTTGGATTTTTGCATTCAAAAAATGAAGGCTTTTTATAATGAAGAGATGCACTGCTTCAAGATTCATATTTGGGGTTAATTTGGGAACTTAGGGAAAAAGAGAGTAAGTTTCATCATGCTGCAGCTGACAGCTGCCACCATGCACCCTGTCCCAGTATCTGATCACAATTAAGTACTCCTGAATTTGAGTCTTCTGCCAAAAAAACAATCAACAAAATGCACATTCTGGCTATTTAATACCCTTTATCACTACGCTTCAGGGCAAATTTGCTCCCGTGGCGTGCTTTGTCTGAGGCCCATGAATTCTTCAGCAGGCCCCATCAGGGGGCTACACAATTTTCTAATGCAGAAAAATCTCACAGCCGTTTCGATTGGGCCATTCTAAGAGAATAAACCTTAAGCTCTGAAAACAAGTTTAAATAGCACTTTTAACATGCAAAGGAGCCACACATGCAAGGAAATCCCATCTCAATTATTAGCAAAACTGATCAATACCAAACACAAGATATTACCTTTCCCCAAGTCAAATGAAAATTTGTCTCTCCTGTCCAGACTGGAGTCAAATTTTGTGCCATCAAGAAGCCACCCTGTGTAATGGACGGTCACTTTATCACCTATCATTGGAGACTCTGTCCCACTGCCTTCTCTCTTGACAACCTGAGAAAAACAGTAAGCAACATTAAAATGATGAAAACTAAGTCTGCCTACTGGATATTAATTCCATTTACTTAGATGCATGCATTATCATCTTCAGTAGATAAAGGATTTGCAGGTTTACTTCAGTTATCTGGAAATGGATTGACTATTCTGTCTACAGATTAGCAGTGTTGCAAATGCAGGAACCTCAAGACATCTCTGCTGTGATACGAGAACTTAATTGGCAACAGTTGGCACCAGCTTACAGATCTCTGCATCTATAGTTAGCAATGTCACTTACCTTTCCTCAATAAGATTTAACTGTTATTGAAACTTAATCAGGTAAAGCATTAGGCAGGGGTTTTTTGCTTTATTCAAGCACTTTCCTCACCACCACTCTATCATTACCCCTGCGTTCAGTGTTCTAGGCAAAGCATTTAAACAAGAAAACAAGCTGGTTCTTCCCATGCAAAGTCTATTCTAACAGGTAGTCTGAGATTACTCAAGTTAAACCAGACAGTTTAACCAAGGTTAACAGAATCTTGCCCCAATGCAGGTTAGGTCTAGCAGCCACAATAACACTTAGGAATTATAATATTCTACTAATTCTGTCTCCCCACAACTCTGACACAGATTGCCAGCACCCCAATTTCACATACAGCTGCAAGGATTTGATTTTCTTCTCAAGAGGTTCCCCAGCCTAGCTAGCAAGACCAGTATCAACTAAATCTACACTATACAAAAAGCAAGATCAGCCAATCTCTCTGGTGTTCATTTGAAATGTATATAAGAATAGGGAATAATACTGACATATCTCATAGGGCAAAGATATGAAGTCTTGCCCATAACAGGATTCCTGAAGTCCAAATCTGAGTTTTCCCCAATACTGATTGCAACTATCTAGCTCTGAGCCAAAGCTCTGCATTACTTTAGCTAGGCAAAAGGGAACCAATGGAGGACCCTATTTGCTTGCATCTGTAGAGACCTGGAAAACATACTACTCATACAAGATAAACATTTGTTCAAGGGCAGTTATACAGAAGTATGGATTGGCATCCCTCCTTTAAAGAACAGCTATAAAAATGTCATGCTTCTATACCAATCATATTTTTCACTGAAGGAAGCAGACCCTTGGGAGTCTCCTTCCCAAATTTCAACTTCTTGCAACCAACCACTGTCAATCTCCTACTTCGCCTCCCACCATCCCTGTAACTGACTATATGACTGAAATGCCAGCACCCTCCAGCCAAAGCTGAGGCAATGGGGACAGCTTCTGTCAGACTCTTAACAAGCTGAAAGCACCTCCCTGGATGCATAAAAGAGAAAGAAAAACAAAACAGAAAAAAATACTACCTGCTCAGTTTCCTAAGAAGAGAATGCTCAGTGCGAAAAGGGATGCCTGTCCTCACACAGCACACCGTCCTCTTACTCTGCACCACCTCACTGCTATACCAGTTACTAGCATTACAGAACTAATCTGTTGATTTCTCCCCCAAGGCAGGCAAAAATTCAAGCAACCACTCTCCAAGATAAGGGAACAGAGACATACAAAAATAACATGAATCTGGTAACCAACCTGAACTACATCATGCTTAGCTACATGCATAAAAAAGTGGATCCAAACTAGTAATTTTAAAGCAGCCAATCTGAAGTCACTTTGAAATAACAACTGCATTTAATGGAAATTTACTAAGCTTTTCCAAATGACATATTCTTGTAGTGTCAGACCAAGTTATCCAACATGAAAGTAATATCTCACTTTCAGTATTTATACAATATTATTCTTTTGCATTTATTTCATTTTCAAGAGACTCAAGTTTCACCTTTTTTCATATACTCAATATGGCAACCCTATTTTCCATAGGGTTTACATCTCCCTTTCAGATGGGGAAACCTGTTTTTTCTGTTCATAATGTGACTGCCAGTATTTTTACTCCTAAACTTAAATACTTAGATTAAAAATAGTGCAAGCACATTCAGCAATACCAGGTGAAAACCTCTGGATACTATTGATACAACACTAATGAACAAATTAATCACTGCAATCAGTGCAATGATACCAGTACAAAATCAGTGTAGATTAGTTCAGAGTTAGACCCTTGATTTCAATGGGTGTATTCTACAGTCTGGCAATTACTAGAAAAATAAAATCCATGAAGGCTGGACTTCATGACCTCGACAGTCTTTTGCCTTATCAATTCACAATCTCACCTTTTTTGAGGTTTTCACAACCTCAGTTCTTTTGCCAGTATTTTCTCCCCCCCTCCTTTTAAAAAAAATCACCTGCTGCTTCTCCATCCTCAAAACGGGGATACTGCATGGAGTAGGCACATGCTCGCTGCCTTTTACCATGCTCAGGGATCTGCGATGCGGGAGACCTGCAGGCAGCTTCCTGGGCAGCCATACAGGTGAGAACTCTAACCTGATACTGTGCTACAGGCAAAAAATACAAACTCCCACCAAAGCACGTTAGCAGGAAACATGGGAAACCAGTGTATAGAAGCCAACCACACATCTTCAATCTGGTCCCTGATACCTTTCCTGAGCTGGAGACAGTGCCTCTATGACAAACCTAGAAATTAAAGCCAGAAGGCTCTAACGGTTAAAACCAGATTTTCATCTTTGCCGTGGTGCTGCTTTTCTTCTTCTGAATATTGTAACTCTGAAGTTTCACTGCGATTAAAAAATGCTTCTAGTGACTGTTAAAGTTTTTCAGAGAGACTAAAGAAGTTTCTAGAGATATGGAAATAGGAAATATCTGACAGAGGAAGTTCGCGCAACTCCCCCTCATGGTATAAATTCTGCTACCCTTATCAACGGACTCCCCAGTACAAAGGAATGAAGCCAGGCTACCAGCATTCTCAGTACACGGCACAAACTGCGACCGCAGGCAGCCCTGCAGCCAGGTCTACCAACGACCTCACCCGCAGTTTGTTAATAGCTAGTTTTCCCACTGAAGCTGAACCAACGGGCAGCCTTTCGGGCTCCTGCCGCCGGGGTGCATTTACGTCGGGCCCACGTGTACAATGCACCAGCTCAGGTTTGAGAGGCTGCTCGTACCAAGACGGAGAGCCCCATTTTCAGAGTCTTAAAGCCAAGCAAGGCAGCGCAGCACTCCTTTGCACCAGCTATGAACGAATACGAAACGCACGTGCCCTGCCGAGGCACCATCTTTAATTCCCAGCCCCCGAACACGTGCTCGGGGGCGGGGGCGGACCCGGACCCCCCACCCTCCCCAAAAACAAGCCGGGCGGGCAGAGCCGC